GAAAAGTTAGCTGTGAAACTGAGAGAATCTTCACTGCAACTGTCCTCCATCAGGTGACTCAATGATTAGGATGATTCAGTCTTGTGGCTCTGCTGTCTCAAACGTATGCCTTCTCTACAATCTCCTTTGCAGAGGAAGATAAACACTGAAAATGCACATAGAGGCGTTTTACCTCCTCTGCACAGAAGTGATATACTTTACTTCCATTTTCCCTTGGCCAGAAGTAATCCTATGACCCCACCTAACTGCAAGGTGGACAGAAAATATGATTTCCTATATGATCACTAAAGAAAGAAACCCAGATATTTATGCACACTAATAGTATCTCTCTAGAAATAGTATGATTTCTAATAGCCTATCCCAGCAAGCTAAAGGGAATTAATAAAAGGCTTAAAGCAAATGCTCATAATTTTAAATAACATTTCTTAAAAATAATAAATAAAAGCACATAATTATACAGGAAACATAAAATTAAGGTCCTTGAAGTCGGGGTCATGTCATATCCTTTTTATATTACCCAATCCCTATCAGATGGTTTGTGAGAGAACGAACATATTAATAAATTCATGAGAGTATGATTCCTTCCTTTGCTCAGTGAACACATGATTTATGTTCATATCATGTCAATTTACATCAGGATAGCATACTAGCAGTAATAACAACTTTAATAACTGTGTATAACGTTAAAATGTGCAAAGCATTTTGATATACTATATGCTTAACAAGTCAAAACTGTGAGATTGGTATATACGTTTGGTTTGTTCTCTATAATTTAAATACATAACATAACAACCTTGAAAAAGTAACATCATTTTAACACAAAATATTTAATTTTTGAGGGGAGAGTAGTTCAAAACATTGGAATATTTTGGCACATATAAAAGAAATATACTTTTTAAACTCTCTAGATGGAAATAGCATTCAATTCTTGGAAAATACAATACTACATTTGAATTAATTTGTATTATTTGAAATATATTGTATGACTAATGCTAAGCACATGAATTTAATTTGCAAGTTACCTGTAATATTGTTAAAAAAAATCAGGACAGCCAAACTTGCATAAAATTGGCATTAGAAAACTGAGAACACTAATGAGGAAATGAAATAGTCATTAATCATCATTGTGTGACTGCAGAAGGATTAAGTGGGTTTCTATAGATTTTGCTTCACTTATTAATGACATGGTTTTACATATATAAAAGATATAAAAGACATGTATACATATATCTAACATTGGGGCATGGGCTGTGACAATTTATTTTCCCTTGGATTTAAAGTAATCATCTCTGAAGTTTTCTCAATAACTACGTAAGTACAAAAGATAAAATCTCATTTTAACCACCTATATATAAACTTTCTTAAGGGCTCCAGATCAGGGTTATTACTCAAATATATGCAGAATTGGGTTTTATTAAAAACTTACTAGTGCAATAGCATCTTAATATAGTATTTGGAGTCCAAGAGATAGACTGAAATCTCAGCATCTTGATTCATTGTGAGACTGTAGATGAACTAATTAAGCCCTCTGACCATTAGTCTCATCTCTAAAGTGATATCAAAATGCCCTTTACAAAGTGAGATTAGAAGCATGAAATGAGAATACACAGATAATGCACCTAGCATTGCACCTACCAAATGGTGAAAGCTTGACAATTCAAATTCTCTTTGAGTGTACATCATGGTGCATGTTATTATTTTGACCTCTTAAAAGGTCCAACATCCAGGTGCAGAAAATAAAATACATGAATTGGAACAAATCGCCACAATTACACACACAGATACAAAATTCAATGATTCGTAAACATTAAACACATTACCTTATTTAAGTGAAAAAAAAATGCTGCAATAAGATTTTCTGTAAATATTTTACTTGCTATGTGGAAAGTGTCAGTTCTTTATTTTGAAGTAAATTTTCAGTGCTGGTATTTAGTTTCAGAGTAAATTTTTTTTAGCTTGAGAATTATATCATAATTTAATGGAGTATATTTTAATGTATTTAATTTGGAATCTAAATTTGCATATTATAATTTGTATTTCAATACTACTCTGGTTTGAATTTTACATTTATTTTCTTTTCTCTCAAATGGCACTCAGTTTTGTAGAGTGTACCATGATAATTCAGGATGTTTTAGAGATTTTATTAACAATCCTTTACGTTCACAGCATTGTTTTCTTTGAAAATGATAATTAGAAGCAAACAATTATAGAAATGAAAATTTAAGGTTATTTTTTAAGCAAAGGTGAAATCCTAAATAGGTTAGTTAATTGAAAATATTGAGGAACTACTAAACATAGAGCAATGTGTTAGGTATGCTGCAGTAAAGAGAACAAGATGACATTGTTTCCTCATTTAACAAACTTGCAGAATTGCTGAGCAGAAAATATGTACACAACACAAGAACCTTAGAACGTATGACAGTGTAAGGTAAAGGGCTATACTTTGTGATCTTAAAAACAAAGAGTTCAAGGAGAGGGGGAATCAAGGTACAATATTTAAAACAATGAAGACTTCCAGGAGAAAGTGGGACTTGAATTTGGCCTTGAGGAATGAATAGGAAATGGGGATCTGAGCAGATACACTGATCATGCTGTTCACAGAAACAGAAATAGTGACGGTGGGGTTTGTGAAGGGAGAAAACAGAACAACCTTATTAGCTTTGAGATTTCTTGGATGTACTGAAGAAAGATTGCTTTTGGATAAGTGTGGCAATACTTAATTGTATAACTTGTATACCAAACTAGGGGAAGAAAGCTCAAAAATTTTCCCAGACTGGTCACATTAAAAAACAAATAGATAAACAGGAGAATACATGTTGTTTTAGAATCTATCACCTGGTAGTATATAAAGAATGGATTTGAAATAAGATATATTAGAAGATAGAAACCACCCAAAAGATCATTTTGGCCATCCAGAATTGGAAATTCATATTGACAATTTAAATGAAAAATGATGGAATTTAGACAAAAGGACAATTACAGGAGGAGGGTCCAGATCCAACTTTTGCAACTAAGGAAAGCTTTAGGATGGAAAAAGTATACAAGGCCTCTAGGATTTGTTATGATGGAAATGGGGAGGCAAAATTTCTACTACCTAAAAGACCCCAGTTCCTCAATAAATGCTTAAGCAAAGCTTTCCATTTGCAGAAAGTGCTAAGGGAGATGGGAGGCTAACCCTCATCCTCATTTTGAGGCTAAATATTGGCTAATATTTTGATGAATACTTTTAAAAATCATTAAGGCAGCCAGGGACCGTGGTGTGACTCTGTTGTCTCAGCGATTCTGGAGGCCAAGGTAGGAGGATTGCTTAACCCAGGAGGCCAGCATGGGCAACACAGTGAAACCTTGTTTCAAAAAAAAAATTACTAAGAAAAAATATAATTTCAAGTTTTTTTTGTTCATATTTATGGTTAAATATGAAGGACTGAATTCATCATTGTGAATAGATATTTCTTTGTTTGGCAGAAATTTCTAGGTACAACTCTCCAAAGGTAATGCAAAATTCTACTCAGGCCTAGTAAAAGCCTGCACAATGAAGGGCTAAACTAGTCTCTCAGTAAACAAGCTTGCCTTCACTGTGGGCTGGTTAAAGTTACAACAGAATGTTTTCATGTCAGCTTATTCTTCACATATCTTGCAGGGCTCAAATATGAGGAATAAGACAGAAACACGTCAAAATGTATTCTTCTAGGAGAGATGCAGACCCCTATGGTACATGGTGCACTGATGATGGAGAGAAACAAAGTACACATCTCTGTGGGAAAGGCACCATTCAGTAGCTTTCTTAGTGATGAGATCTGATATACAATTTTAAGTTTTCTGTTTGTGTGAAATAATTCTGTTTAACCTCAAGTCTTCAGTACTGTTTGTTCAACATGACAGCTTACTATCAAATGTGGTACTGTTTGGTGGGAAGTGTGAACTTGAAGGATGAAACTGGCATGGAAATGAAATGATTATAAGATATTGAGAAATTCGGAAAGCATTTGGTTTCAGAAAGATAATGAACAACAGTAAGGAGATACTGGACCTTCAACGCTCTCCCAGTCCAATCCAGCAATACCCAGTTATTACTAAATAATGGAGTACAAGACTGTATTCCTTCAGTCCATCAGGCCGGAATCTCATTCTTGGTTCAGTATTATAGAAAGGGTCACTGAATCAGGCGAGTTGGGATATCCAGTCTACACAGGTATCTAAGCTAGAGATTTCTTCATAGTATTAAGTGAGATAAAATGTTTTATAATCTTGTATACACTCAGAACATAGTAGGATCCTAGTGTATGAATTGGACAGTGAGCAATATTTCAATAATATTTGAAGAAAAAAAGACTGGGTGCATTCGAACATGAATACAAAGCTGCTGTTTGGAAAAATACACGACGTCACAGAAAACCTCCTATTTCAACCAATTCAGCTTTATCATCCCTATAATGCATGTCCCAGGAAAATGCTGTAAGAATTTTAAGAGTTTCCATGTGGAAAAGATCAGTGCCTTCAATGTATTTCTAACTTTATAACATGTAAATTATACTATCAGCATTGCACTATTGAAAACCTTTAAACACCCAATTTTTGTGTCAGCTCATCTTTGGTTTTTATCTTGCTTCTGCGTTTGATCTATTTTTAAAGAAAAATTTTCAGACTGATACTTTCCACATTTTACCTGCATAATCCTCCATCCTGTATCACAAACTCTTTCCGTGGGGATTTTAGTTTCCTTAAGAAACAAATGTTCCCTCTGTTTGGAATGTTCTCCTAACTCATGAAGTTGAATCTCCAAGAAGTATCTGGACTTACGAGATTGTCTTATATGGGTTAAGATGTAATTGATCTTTTCTAACTGGCCTTATGAGATTCAAACTCAGAAAATGGAAAGGAGGGGAGAATTATTTTAAGGATTAAGTCTGACACAGAAATAAAAACATACTCCAAAGAACAGTGACAAACAAAATAAAAATATCAGAAGGTTGAGAGTCCCAAAGAAAAAACTATCTTACCAGATTTTTGAAGTTACCAGACGATTCAGGAGTCCAAGCCTGATAAAAAGCAAAACAGACAAAAAACAGAAAACAAGAGTTTTTGTTTTAGAAAAATAGACAATAAAATGTTATAATTCTACAACATTATTCTATTTACAAGTACTGCCAACTGAATAAATACTTTAGGACATAATTTCTGTAGACAAAAATGTGTCTTTCACTTAAACTGAAGTGTTTAACCTTATATTGTGCCATTAAAACAAGCAATAAAAGGTAATGTTCTAGCTCCAGAAAATATTTTTTCCAATTATTTAGGTGACTATAATAATTTGGTTAATTCTCTAAGTTCTCAAAGAAGGGAGATTATTATTAAACGCACACGAAATTCTCCAATAATTAGTACATGCATTTGATGATTTTATGGGAGAAGCAGACCAAAGTTTCATTTTTAAAAACTTTTCCCATTTTTCAGGTTTTGGCTGGCTATGACAATAATTACTTTTGGCTTTGATTTAGTTTTGAAAAGTAAAGCCATGAAAGATATTATAATGACAAAAATGAAAGCTTTTTAATTTTTAAATGATAGTAAAATGCAGCCTCTATTTTTTAAAGGTGTTTGAAGTTCAAATGAAAGGCAATATCTGAACAGCACAAATTCCCAAGAGGAGACCCAGCACCTGCCATGGGATGCAAAGGTTTTATAAATATTGTCTTGTGTAAAGGCAATGGCAAACATTGTGAGGCCTTTTGCAAATATGCCTGCCTGCTTGTGTTTGAGCAGAAATATTGAACTTCTAGCCATTATTATTATAAAATAAAGGAGATTATTCTTTAAACATTTGATGGTAGCCTTTTCTTTTTGCCTTGGGAATCAAGTTTGAAATTACACATTGTATGAGTAGTAAAACACATGTCTTTCTTTGAAAGATAATGGAGAACACAGTAAGTGTGAAAAGGAGTTGACACTATTGTGTGCGGTTTTATATGTGCATATGAATATGTGTCTGCATCTTATTGTCAGAAAATTTAAATTAGGTGATTTCTGTTGGGCCAGAATAATCTCTATAATGCTAGACTACTAATTGGTAACAAATCGCCCAGAAGAAAGTTATTAATATTCCTTCTCTAGGGTCCAAAATCATTTGAGAAGATCAATGCTTCACTTTTGAAGAGCAAGTAATAGAGCTTGTCGTATTATTTAGAGAGCTTACTGAATTCTCTAGCCTGGCTTCAAAGGTGTAAAATGGATGATCTCTTACAAACTTTTGTCCATGGATCTTAGTTCTATTAATGACCTTACAAAATAATCTGATAAATTCTTTTATTTTCATATTTTAAGTTATTTCTTTGTGGTGAGATATAATCCACAAAAGATTTGCAAAAATACAAATGCGTACAACTCAATAAATTATCACAAAGTCAATGCTCATGTAATTATTATTACAAGATAAAGAACTTGAAGATAACCACTACACAGAAGCCTGTGGCTTGTTCTGTCACTCTGGGTAAGTTTGTATGTATACACAGAGATGCATGTGCAGAGATTTGTAATCATGCTGCATTAATGTCTCATGTTCATCACAACTTTGCAAGGCATTTGAATGCACATTACCAGGGAGGGACAACACGTTGAACATATCATATGATGTCATTGGATATATCATACACTGTAATCTCAGTAAACTATTAATTACATGTGTTTGTCAAAGTATCTGGATTTTTTTTGTCCAGCCTATGGTTTTAAGTTTTAAACTTTAGTTGGAATCATGTACTACATCTCTCTGTGTTTAGTTTCTTTCCCTTAATATCTTATTTGTGAGATTCATTCATCTGGTTGCTCATAACTGCAGTTAGTTTTCATTACTCTATAGTATTCCATTGGATAAATATTTCACAATTTACATACTCAGTCCACTACTGGCAGCTATGTGGATTGTTTCCACTTTGGGATTATTATGAATTACCCTACCATAAGCATCCTTTGTTAAGAGTGAGATTACTAGATCAGAAAATATACTTATGTTCTACTTTAGCAAATAATTTAAATAGTGTTACGAGAATTGCCATTGTTGCACGTTTCCCAGAAAATATTTCTTTTCTGCTTAATTTTAGCCATCAGTGTACTATTTAGTGGAATATTTCTGTACTTTTCATTTACATTTCCTTCGTTACAAATTTTAGTGCATTTTGATATGTTTATTAGTCATACATATGTAGTCATTTGAGAAGGTTCTTAAGTTATTTTACCCATTTTATATGGGTGGTCTTTCCTTATCAATTCACAGAAGTACTTTATGTATTCTAGATGTGAGTCCTTTGTTGGTTATATATTGTGAAAATCTGTTTCCTATTTCATGGCTTCCTCTTTTACTCGCTTATTGTTTCTTATGTTGAACACCTATTGTTAATTTTAATGGAGTCCTGTTGAATCTTTACTTATGCATGCCATTTATTACATAAAATAATCATATATACGCTTCTGTATTTGCTTCTAAAAATGTTTTTATATTATGATTTCTTTGCCTTTCACATCTAATCCAAAAGTCTACCTGAAATTTATATTTTGAGCTGGGGTAAAGTTTCATTATTTTTCCAAATTGGTCCAGCAAAATTTATTAAAAATACGACATTTTCAAATTGCTCTACAATATTAGTCATGAATTCAGTACCCATACATCCTTGGCTCTGTTTCTAGACATTTGTATGTTCCACTGAACAATTTGTCTGTATTGTACTGTCTTACACAATATACCTAATAGCATTCTTTAATAGCTGGTAGAGTAGATTTTTCTACTCTTTCCTTCAATATAAGTGTGTTGACTTCTTATTATATTGACATAATTTACATAAAGTTTACTATTTTAAAATATACAATTCATTGTTTTTTCAGTATATTCAGTTTGTGCAAAGATAACTACTAATTCCAGAATGTTTCTAACACCTCAAAAGAAAGGTGTTAGCACCTATATGGTACCTATTAGTAGCCAATATCTGATTCTCTTGTACCTTCTTCCCCTGATAACTCCTACTCTACTATCTGGCTCTCTGGATTTGCCTATTCTGTACTTCATATAAATGAAATCACACAGCATGTGACCTTTTGTGTCTGGCTTAATTTAAAATATTTTTAAAGTCCATTTATACTGTAGCACATAATAGGACTTGATTCCTTTTGTTGCTAAAAAATATTTCATTGAATGGATATACCACATATTGGCTATCTATTCACTAGCTGAAGGACATTTAGGTTTTCATTTTTTTGCTATTATGAATAACAAAGCTATGAACATTCCTGTATGTGTTTTCTTGTGTGAACATTTGTTTACAGTCCTCTTGGGTATATACTTAGGAATTTCAGGGTCATCTGGTAATTCTAGGTTTGATGAATGGCCAAACTGTTTTCCACAGCAACTGCATCATTTCACATTCCCACTAGCAATGCATAAGGTTTGTAATTTCTCCACATCCTTGCCAACACTTATTTTCTATTTTATTAAAAAAATCATAGCTATACGGTGGAGTGTGATGGATCTCACTGTAGTTTTAATTTTTGTCTCCCTAATGCCTAATGTTGAACATTCTTTTTTTCATATAGTTATTGCCCATTTGTTTATCTTCTTTGGAGAAATATGTATTAAAATTCTTCACTCACTTTTTTTTTTTTTTTTTTTTTTTGAGATGGAATCTCTCTCTGTCACCCAGGTTAGAAGGCAGTGGCACCATCTTGGCTCACTGCAACCTCTGCCTCCTGGGTTCAGGTAATTCTCCTGTCCCAACCTCCTGGTGGGAATTCAGGCACATGCCACCATGCCTAATTTTTGTATTTTTAGTAGAGACGGGGTTTCACCATGTTGGCCAGGCTGGTCTCGAACTCCTGACCTCAAGTGATCTGTCTGCCTCAGCCTCCCAAAGTGCTGAGATTACAGGCGTGAGCCACTGCACCCTACCTCTTTGCTCACTTTTTAATTGGGCTGTTTTTTTTTATTGTTGAGTTCTAAGTGATCTCAATATTTTATTAGATATATGATTTGCAAGTATTTCCTCCCATTTTGTGTTGCCTTTCACTCTATGGTATTATTTAATTTATCCCAATAATGTAGAATTTTCTACATATAGCTTTACATCTTTCAATAGGTACATTTTTATTTGATATTTTTATGTTATCAGACATGGTATTCTTATATTTATTACTTGTATATAGAAATGCATTTGATTTTCTATTGATCATTTAGGGAGGAACCTCAATAAAAAATCATGTATTAAAATAAATAATCTGGTACATTCCTTTCAATTTACTATCTACAGTCATACAATAATAGTTTTATCTAGTCCATTCAAATCCTTTAACTTTACTAAAAAGGCATGCATGTATGCATTAATTCATGTGTATATGCATATATATATTTTGCATTCGTGCATTTAACAAGAACACCAACATAACACTGAATAGAAGTGGTGATACTGGGCATCCTTGTCTTTATTTCAAAAGGAACCACTGCTACTAAGTGTGATATTTGTTGTAAGTGTTTGCTAGATATTTTTATACCATAATAAGAAAGCACACTTCTATTAGAATGTTAATCATAAAGGGTTTTTCTGTTGTCCTTTACATTACTTAAATAGTTATATAATTACTTTGAGTGTCTTTTTCTTGCTCTTCTCATCTTTAAGTTGTATTTTTCTAGAAATTTTATTCAAAATTCCATGTTTTTAGAAAAGTAATTTCTAACATCCTCTCAACATCCTTTTAATATCATCAGGGTTTATAGTGATTTAACTGACATTAGCTTTTCTTGAATCCTCTATTTTTTTACTTGGCAAGTTGCATCACTATTACTTTCATGAGTTTATTTTAAAAAACCAAATGTGGTTTTGTTGATCCTCTCTGTTGTATGCAGTATAATATATAATATTTTCCATTATATTACCTTCTGATATTTATTATTTATCTTCTTTTGTATTTGAGATAAATGTGCTGTTCTCTTCCTAACTTGTTGAGATACTTATATTGTTTTTCTGCCTTTTTCATACATATATGTATATATTTATGTGTATAT